AAGGAGTATAATACCCTTAAATCCTTAATTTCTATCTTTCAGAGTCTGTCCAGCTGAGTGCACCCCACACAGCCCTGAACTTGTGCACTTCCTCCATCTTCCTGAGAATCTGTGTGCCCTGACTTCTGGGCAAGAAAGCTTGCAGTGCCCAACAGAAAGTGAAGAGGCACATACATGTCTCTTAGATCTTTCTGCATTGACAATTCGTACAGGAAAACTCAGTAAGAAGCCTCTGTATTGGTTTATGTAGTAATTTACCACAATTTCTGTGACTTGAAGAGGAAAATTGGGAAATTAAGAGTTCCTACAAGTCCAACACAGGACAGTCACAGCGCCACATTGGAACTGGACATTTTCTTTGCATACACTATAGGATTGTATTTAGTCAATGAGGAAATGTCAGTAAGGGTTTGAGGCTAGTTTAAACTCTAATATCAGCAGTCAGGAAGATCTCAAGTTCAAGGGCACCCTAAGGTATATAGTGGGTTCCAGTACAAGTAAAGGAGCAAGCAAAACAAACAAAACAAGGCAAAAATGTCAGTTGGGACTGTTTTGTACCGTGGCTCTACAGTATTTGAACTCTAATTTAATTCTGAGCCTTTTGTTTGGCTGTCTTTCTGGCACTGTGCCTAGTTACTGGCTAGATTGACAGCTGTGGGATAAACTTTCAATGAAAACCCTGGAGTACCAGATAGCAGAGGTGCTGCCATATACAGAGCAGGTATAGCCTATGACTATAGGTTGAAGGAGGTATGTGGGAGGGTGGATTTAAAGGTTGAGAAGAGTACTAGAAATCAAGGTGAATGAGCTAGGCAAAAGCTCTGAGTGGCCTTTAAATATAAAAATGGTAGGAAAAGTTCTTCAAAGACTTTATACTCGAGTTTTTGAATGCAGTTCTGAAGTTACTGTACTAAATGAGTTGTGGAAGATGAAATATTGAAGGCATTTTTGAAAGAGGAAAGAGGATGAACAATAATCCTCCCTAGACATTGAGGGGGCAGCAAAAGCCAACGTCCCACCACCCCCACACCCCTCACCTGTGCTGGCGTTCAACTGAAGACATCTTATTGCTCAGCTCTCACTTGGCTTTTCAGTTCAGGACTGGCACTCTACCACCTGAGCCATGCCTCCATTTGTACCTTTTTCCCTGGTTGTTTGGAGAGAAGAGATTTTTATATTTGTCTGCCAAGACCGGCTCCAAACTGTTGATTTTCAACTCTCAGCCTCTAGAGCTAACTCTAGAGATACTATGAAAATATTTCTCTTCATTTAACACATTGATGTTACATTTCAAAATTGAAAAGATGTTTTTCAAACAGCCTCCTGATTCTGAAACATGACTCATAGTTGAATTCCTGTCCCCTGTCCTTTTGACTTCTAAATAGTGGACTCCCTCCAGGGTCCAGCAGGCTTTTGTTTATGTACAATGTTGCCTAAGGATTGCTCTGTGTCCCAGCTTTGGAACTCTAGTTACAACTTCTCCTTTGACCTTCAGAATTTCACATTCACAGCAACTTAAGGAACATTTGCAGTCAGAGATGGCAAAATTCGAATGGTTTCCTCTTGAAGTCCTGATTCCTATCTGTTTTCCAAACTTGCTTTCTGTTGGTCTGCGCTTTCCCAGAAATATTCTAAATTCTCTGGTTTCCCAGGTTCAAGCACATGCAGCAGTCATCTTTGATTTTCTCTTCTCCTGGCACCTCACTTCTAATATGCCAGCAAATAAATATATTTTCTTTGCGTTTAAAATGTGGAGAGTTCTGGCCTTCTTTCAGCACAGTTATCCAGGAGTTTATAGCCCTGAGTAGGCAGATGTATTTTAACGAGGATATTCTTTTCAAGGGAAATTAAAATGGGACTTTTAATTTATTAGGTAAGCTTTTTCAGAGTCCCCTAATTGTTCAATTAGTATGCAGTGTCCCTGTGATGAATCTTTCTACTCTTTTCCTACCCCGTGGTGGTCCTGAAAAATTTTCAGAATTAAGGAACAAATTTCCTTGTTGCAGTTGCTAGATGTCATGAAGGTTGGTTTGAGTTGGGGACTACACTGCTTAACTCTTGGACTAGTAAATTTTTTTCAATGCAGAAGGCAAAGGGCCAACTGGAGCATAAACCTAAGAGATGCTAGTGAGTCATCATGAAGAATTGTCCATATATTTCTTGGTGACTGTCATCAACTGCTGTGGGATTAATCTTTGAGAAGGCTCCTACCCCCTTTCCATGCTCGTTATGCTGGTGGATTCTGGAATACTCTGATCACTAAATTGTAATACCTTGAATAAAGATGATGTGTGAATCAGGTGTCACAAGTCACACGAACCAGGCCTAACAGATGTAACTATAAAAGAAATTTGTGAAAAAATGTATTGGAAAATAAGAATCAAAATGAAACAGTAAATTGATAGGATGAGTGGATCGAGATAGGGAGAATTATGAAATGGGTGACATTGATCAAAACGTACTGATAAACGTACCTGCTAAATTGAAACTCCCTTATACAACTACTGACAGATAATAACATAAATAAATAGAAACAGAAAGAAAAATAAAAGGTAATAGTTATCATGGTTACTTCACTGTTCTTGTTAGCTTCTGTTAAGATGACTAAACACCAGTTATGAAAACAAAGTCCTATTTTGGTGATAGTTTTAGAGGTTACAGTTCCCCTTTCACAAGTAAGAGGGTGATGGGAGACTGCAAATAAATGGGGATAAAACATTCAACCCTGAAAATGTTTCATTTTTCAAATATAATAAAGTTATGCTTCCATTTATTCCATGGAAAATTAAACATTTTCCATTGTAACTGACAAGACAGGGGTACCATGGGAAGTGGGAAAAAGACACTTTCCACTCATCTCATTTGAGTTTTGCCTTGTACAGTTATGTTTGAGGTTAGGATAAATTATATCATTTCCCCAAATGGGATAGCTGTGCATCAACAAATCTTGTTCTTGCAGCATTGTGGACCACAATGGCACAAGTATGTTGTGTTCTACATTTTCTTCAAGATCTAGTCAGACCGGATGAGATAATCTTGTATTTGTGTGACATCTGCTATACAAGACCCACTAATTTGCTGCTAGGAACTAACTTCTCTTCCTTCCTTCCTTCCTTCCTTCCTTCCTTCCTTCCTTCCTTCCTTCCTTCCTTCCATCCTTTCTTTCTTTCTTTCTTTCTTTCTTTCTTTCTTTCTTTCTTTCTTTCTTTCTTTCTTTCTTTCTTTCTTTCTTTCTTTCTTTCTTTCTTTCTTTCTTTCTTTCTTTCTTTCCTTCCTTCCTTCCTTCCTTCTTTCTTTCTTTCTTTCTTTCCTTCTTTCTTTCTTTATTTTTTCGTTTTCTTTCTCTCTTTCCTTGAATGTATTTTCCTTCTTTGCTCCATTCTTGTCTCTTTGCTACAATTAGTAAAAAAAAAAACATTACTTTGTGGGAGGTGAGGAAGGGATAGTGGGACATCAACAAAGGAAGGAGTAACTGTATAGTATATTTACAATAAAGTAAAATTAAAAAACCAAAAAAACACAAAAAACAAAAAAGCATTACTTTATTGGCCACAACAGTGTGCTTGTACATGTGCAATTCAATAATACAGAAGGCCAACAGAAGAAGTGGGCTTTTTCTCTGACCCCACAATGAATAATCTTATCTACTTGCAGATATCAGCATCCATCACTCTAGATTCAGGCTTTCTATTCCACAATAGAAAATCAACATGGTCATTGTCCTGGTCTACATGGATTGTAGGCTCTATTTTCCTGCTTCTCCAAACTGTGAGTATCGGGTAGCCTTGCTTTCTCTAAGGTCATTTCCATGTGGAGTTGGAGTAGCACTTCACATCTTGTCAGTGGTTCAGGTCTTCATTTCTTTCCATCTGTTTTATTTACCTTCATAAAACTTTATTAGTATCATTTCAATTCCATAATTATCTTTGTACCCTATCTTTGTGACTATAGATGAAGAGAACTTCGTCTTTTCTCTTCCTCACATTGTCAAAATTTGTCGTATTAAAGGAGAAATTCATCTTATTCTCCTCCTCCACTTCTTCCTCCATGTTTACCTCCTCCTCTTTCTCTCAAAGACTCCATTATTGAGCAAGTTAAATATATTACACACATGGAAAGCCATTTTAAAAATATATGATTTTAAAATAATCTATGTTGAGCCATATAATTCACCACTCTAACAAGATTAGAAACAAGGTAATATGAGTACAGTAGTTGAGAATATTTCTAAAAGTCAACAGCTATTCATGATAATTCAAAAGCTATTCATGTCTAAGGAAGACAGAACTAATGGGAAAATACTTTAGTGGTTTAAAGCATATGTAAAAATCTATGACAAATATCATACTCAGTGATGAAATATTTCACATTATTTCTTATCAGTGATATTAAATGCTGAAAGGTTACTATCCACTTCCTCACTTACAAAATTATACAGGATGTCCTCCTCCAAATGCTATAAAACAAGAAATAAAAAATTAAATTGAGAATTGAAGAGGAAAGCATATTATTTGCCGATGAAATCTGTACAAATGTTTGAGGACTAAAAAGTAAATTAATTTATTTCTTACATTTAAAAAACCTGCTTGGATTAAGTAGCATGTCTCCACTTTCCAAATGAACCCCAATTAATGCTCACACACTCCTCCCATGCTTTGAGTTGTGTCATCTATTGAATCAGGAGAGGCATTGGCATGTTTATACTGCTGCAGAGAGTTAGAGTAGAGAGAATTCTGCCAAGCTACTTTGACCAACATCTTCAAATGACCTTCAGAATCTAGTTGCATCTGAGAAACTCTGTCAACCGTTGGAGGCACAAGGAGGAGTAGCTGGGGCAGCCCAGCCTCTCACTTCTGCTTCCTTGGGAGGTTTGTGTTATGACTTGTATCACTGTGGGAGGAAGCTCATCATACTGCAGACAGTAATAAATGGCAAAATCTTCAGGCTGCAGGCTGCTGATAGTAAGAGAGTAATCTGTTCCAGATCCACTGCCACTGAACCTGGATGGGACACCTGATTCTAAATTAGATGCTCTATATATCAGCCCCTTAGGAGCTTTCCCTGGTTTCTGCTGAAACCAGGCTAAATACTTGTTAATGCCCTGACTGGCCCTGCAATTGATGGTGACTGTGTTTCCTGGAGATGCAGACAGGGAGGATGGAGTCTGGGTCATCTGGATGTCACATTTGGCACCTGGCAGTGGAAACATAAACACAAATATCTTCCTTGATTATCATGTTAAAAGAGGAATTCCCTGAAGTGCCAGACAGCCCTGATGCACAAAGATGAGTTAATCCCAGTACTGCCCTTCCTTACCTGGGAGCCAGAGCAGCAGGAGCCCCAGGATCTGAGCAGGGACCCTCATGTCCATGCTGTGTGCTGACTGGGACTGACTTCCACACAAGGTGTAAACAACCTTTAAGAGCAGTCCACTGTTCTGGGCAGTAGGCTGAGCTATGGGCACATGCAAATCAGCAGGGTGGGGAGGGCGGGCTCTGCTGCAGGATTGGCTCATCTCTCATCACAGGCCTTGCCTCCACAGATGTCCCAGACCATTCAAAAGAAATATAAATTTGTCTGCAGAGCATGTTTCTCGCTGGTGACCTTTTGACTGTAGAAGACATTTTTAAGATTATTTTCAAAATGCATAATGCCCCGAAGTAACTGGTATAAGAGCATATTTCAAAAATATATTGAAGAAAAAATCATCTTGTGTTCTTTTTACCAAGTCCTTATACTTTGAAAATTTCTTTCTTTCTTCCTTTCTTTCTTCCTTCCTTCCTTCCTTCCTTCCTTCCTTTCTTTCTTTCTTTCTTCTTTCTTTCTTTCTTTCTTTCTTTCTTTCTTTCTTTCTTTCTTTCTTTCTTTCTTTCTTTCTTTCTTTCTTTCTTTCTTTCTTTCTTTCTCTCTCTTTCTTCCTTCCTTCCTTCCCTTTCCTTCCTTCCTTCCTTTCTTCCTTCCTTCCCTCCTTCCTTCCCTCCCTCCCTCCTTCCCTTCCCTCCGTCCTTCCCTTCCCTCCCTTCTCTTTCTTTCTTTTTTTCTTTCTGTCTTCCTTTCTGTCTTCCTTTCTTTCTTTCTCTTTCTTCCTTCCTTTTTCCTCTGTCCTGCTTTTATGTATCTCACTCTCACTCTCTTTCTTTCATTCTTTTTTCTTTCCTGTTTCAGTTCTTTCTTTCTTTTTTCTTTCTTTGATTTTCATTTAGTTTTTGTACTTGGGGCTTGAACTCAGGGTCTGGGTTCTGTCTCTTAGCTTTTTCTCTCAAGGTAATGCTCTACTACATGAGCCATACTTCTATTTCTGATTTTTTGGTGGTTAATTAGAAAAAAAAATTCTCATGAAATTTCTTGTGCAGGCTGTCTTTGAAGAGCCATTCTAAGACCTCACACTCTTGAGTAGGTCGGATGACAAGTATTAGCCATGGGCACCTGACTAAAATTAAAATGCTTATTTTCTGTGTGTATGTGTATAGGGACATGAACTCAAGACCTGAATACTGTCCCTCAAATTTCGTGCTCAAGGCTACCACTCTGCTATACCACTTGAGCCACAGGTCCATTTCTAGATTTTGCGTGATTAATTGGAAATAAGAATCTCATGGACTTAACTGTCTGGGCTGGCTTCAAATTGTACTCCTTGGATCTCAGCCTACTGAGTAGCTAGAATTATAAGCATGAGGCACAGGTGTCAAGCTGTTTAATTTCTTTAAAGAACAAGATAATATGAAACATACTGAACCTATTGAAAAGTATTTTCTGTTAGTTTTGGTTATGACCATTACCATGTAAGTTGAAGCAAGTTATTTTTAATTTTTTTGTCAAGGTGATGTACAGAGGGGTTACAGTTACATATGTAAGGTAGTGAGTGCACTTCTTGTCAAACATTGTCACTCCCTCTCTAGTTTTTCTCCCACTTTCACTCCTCCCCATATCCCCTGTTGTCTTGTGAATATTGCTGTTGTGTTGGTTGACCTTTTGTCCTTTATCTCACCATTTTGTTGCTCCCTGTCCCTTGGCTAATTCAGATAAATGCATATACAACACACAGGGTACCAAAATAAAACCATAGGGGGAAAAAGAGAAAAATGCCAGAAAAAGAAATAACTTCTCATAGTACATTAAGAACCAAAACAACAACAAAGAAAAACCTCTTGTTTCCTTATCATGGAGTACATTTCACTTAGCATCATCTTTTTTGTTGTTGTTGTTTTGTTGGCCCTGGGGCCTGAACTCTGTGCCTGGGCACTGTCCCTTAGCTCTTCAGGTCAAGACTACCACTCTACCACTTGAGCTACAGCGCCACTTCTGGCTTTATCTGCTTATATGGTGCTGAGGAATCGAACTTCATGCATGCAAGGGAAGCACTCTACCACTGAGCCGCCTTCCCAGCCTCACTTAGCATCATATGTACATAGTTATTGAGCTATTGTGATTCTCTTCTAGGACTATCTGAGATATATACTAATTATCACAAATGGGGGAAACCATGGAGCTTATGTTTCTTTGGGCCTGTTTTTACTTCACGTAATATGATTTTTTCCAAGTCTTTTCATTTCCTTATAAATGGGGCAAGGTCATTCTTTCTGATGGAAGCACAGAACTCCATTGTGTATATATATCACATTTTCTTGATCCATTCATCTACTGAGGGGCATCTGGGTTGGTTCCATATTTTAGCTATGGTGAATAATGCTGCGATAAAAATAATTGTGCTGGTTGCTTTAGTATGGCCATGTTTGTGCTTGTTTGGGCAAATGCCTAAAAGTGGGATTGCTGGGTCATAGGGGAGCTCTATGTGGAGTCTTTGGAGGAACCTCCATACTGTTTTCCAGAGTGGTTGAACAAGTTTATACTCCCATCAACAGTGCAGTAGTGCTCTCTTTTGGCCACATCCCCTCCAGCATCAGTTGTTTTTAGATTTCTTGATATTGGCCAAATTTCACTCTGGTTCCTCAATAATGACTCACGGAAAATTTATGTGTCTTCTATCCCCAGTATCTAAATAGACTGCACTTTCTCCTAATTTGAAACCTCTCATATATTGTCACCTTTGCGCCATTTGATAATACTACTCACAGTTGGACATAAATACTTCAACAAAAATCACTGCTACCCAATCATACATATCCTTGTCTTTTATCCTTTCCCAATGAGTGGAAACATCATGGCTGCCAAGAAACCAGTATGGCTGTTTGCATCTTTAGGAGAAACTCTTGTTCTCTTCCCAAACCAGTAAAAATGTCCCTGAAGAAACATCTTGGATAAAAATGGATAGAAATTTGATCAATCAGATATCGTATTATGCCTTTTCATTGGACAGTTCAGTCCAGTTTAATAGCAAGAGGTGACATCTTTGCCTTCATCATGTATAACCCAGAGTCTAGGAACTCAGAATCTTAGTAATACCTCACAATGCATCCAAGTAGGATGAAGAAACCATGGACCCCTTTACTGTAGTGGGGGAGGAACTAGTCAGGCCCAAAAGTCTTTTTTGTAATTATTCATGTGGTTTCCCTGAGTGTGGAGATGTGAAAGCTGACTTTAACTTTCAGACACTGGAAGAAACTGGAGAGATTTGGATCAGGAGTGTCTATCCATGGCTGGCATTCTTGCTCTGGGCTATAAAAGAAGCCGTCCCCCTCCAGAGTAATAGAGCTGAGAACTTGGGGTAACAAAGGTCCTGTCCCTTGGTAGCTTTGGATTCAGTGAAGGAAAATGCTCACCACTCACTGGAATTGAACCCAGACAAAAGACCAAGACCAGGTGGAGAGACTGAGTCATCAAGAGCTGAGAGTTTTGTTTGCTCTGTGGAGCTGGCTAACTTCCCTGCTGTTCTCACCAGTCATGAGGAATGTCAGCCAACGTCCTTCATCCAGAGTCTACTCTAAGCCAGCATATCTTCTTAGACACATAAGGAGGACATGATGATCAAGTGTGTAAATTTTAAGTTTATTGTGTATCTTTCTCATTGCTGAGGACTCTGTAAAGCAGGTTCCGGATAGCACTAAAATTTCAAAGTCTCTCCTTTTCCAATACCTTCCACATACAATTATAATTGTATAATTATAATTACATATAATTATACAATTATAATTATATAATTAATATTCACTTATTTGACTGACTTACCAAAGGCTAGAATGATGTAAGAATTAGGAAGTCATAATATTTAATAGTCTTTAAAGAGCAAGTTGGGAAGGGCAAAGGCTTAACTTGTGTCTCTTGTGGTCAAACTGAAGGTGGAAATCATTTTCGGGACAGTTTCTAGAGGTAGATCATTAAAGGTCCATGCTGACTAGAAGAGGAAAGTATGGAAATCACCTTCAATGTTATATAGAATTATGCCTTATATTTTGGGACTTTAATAATGTATCTGTGTTTGGTATAGTGGCACATAACTGCAAGGCCAAGTACTTTGATTGATAGAGATAAGAAAGATGACAGTTTGGACCAATTTGAGGGATTATTACCATTAACATGAAGTTTTGTGTCAGGGCAATGGGAAAGATACACTGAGAGCATCTCAGGAATTGTCTAAACACCCATGGAAAGGCTGCAAGATCATGAAAGAGTGAACTCATGGGGAAAACTTTCCCTTGAGAAAAGATCTCCTCCAGGTAACAAGCTCAAAGAGGGACACCTGGAAAGTCATTTCACTGGGATTTATTTCACCAGAATTCCATTTTCAGACAAGCTTGAGCTACCTGGAGACCAGTGGAACAGAAAAGAAGACCCTCCTAGAAATAAACCCACAAAGCTATACCAGCTTTAAAACATACAAGTGAGAAAAGAGAGCCTCATAAAAACTTGGTGATGGGAACATGGATGACTACATATAGAAGACTGATTCTACTTTCCTAATGTCACCATTACAAAATTCATTCCAAATGGATCAAAGTTATCAATGTGAGATGTGAAACTTCGCAACTACTATAGGAAAAACGTCCTTGAAGATAAAAGCACAGGTAGTTATTCATAAACAGGACTCCTGTTTCCCAGGAAATATGGCCAAGAAATGACACATGGGACTGCATCAAATGTAAATGTTTCTGCATATCAGTAGGCAAATGAGTATGTGTGTGTGTGTGTGTGTGTGTGTGTGTGTGTGTGTATAAGTACATGTATTTGTGCCAGTACTAGGGTGTGAACTCAGGGTTTGGATGCTGTCTCTGATGTTCATTTTTGCTCAAGGCTAGCACTCTACCCTTCTAGCCAATCTCCACTTCTTAGTTTTTGGTAGTTAATTGGAAATGAGTGTCTCACAGGCTTTCTTGTCCAGCTTGCTTCAAAACTTCATCCTCAGATCTCAACCTCCTGTGTAGCTAGGAATCCAGGATTGAGTCATTGTCATACATCAGGAAAATAAATTTTTGGCAGTCCTGTGGCTTGAACTCATGGTCTGGACATTGTCCCTGAGCTTCTTTTGCTCAAGGCTAGCACTCTACCACTTGAGCCACAGTGCCAGTTCTGGCTTTTTCTGTGTATGTCGTATTGAGGAATCAAACGAATATGAGGCAAGCACTCTACC